CATTATTCTAGTAGCACACTAGAGGGTGCTATGCTTATATAAGGTTTTTCTCAATCTACAAGTCCATCTAATATCACCCTCTCCAGACTGCTGTCCAAAGGTGGCTCTGTTGCTCCTCTAGATAGAAGAAACACCCTAACACAGGTGTGTTACTGACCAGATCATAAGCTCAAAAGGGAAATAAAAGCCTAAAACAGAAACCTAATGCAGCCACCAAATCCAAGGACTGGTAAGCTGCAATATATAAATTTTTTTTCTTCTGGCTTTAGATACACTTTTGAGGTGGTTTGTAGTAGGGTGACAAGATCTTCAAAATGAAAACCAATGACACCCCCCATGCTCACTTTTATCGGGGACAGGGCTGGGGAGGAGCAAGGATCAGGGATAACAGTAGCATGCAAAGAACACTACACCAAATGTTGGGTGTGGCAAAATTGCCCTAACAGTGGGAGTAACTTAGAAGGGTATGGTTTAATAACACCTAAGCCAACTTTGCTTTGGGTCAAGAGGGCATAACACAGAATGTAGAGGTCAACAGTAAGTAAAACATGGGCTTCTGCGTTTACAAGTGACAGTGGTGAGCAGTGAGCAGATGGCCAGTGCTGGTGGTGGTGGAATGGAGTTCTGCAAATTAGCCTTTAAATGTATACGGCCATAACCTTTTTTTAGGTTTTGAGTAGAGCAAGGAAGGGTTAGAACCCATGCCATGTTCATTCTTTATTGCTGTTTGTATTCAAGGTAGTGGAGGATTCACCCTTATATTTGTCTTGTGGACAAATAGAGCTTACAATCTAAAGTTGGGTACACACAGAGGAAATATCAGTCGGTTCAGAGGGAACAGACCAACATTTGGACCGAGTGTACAGCTGTCCTTCCAACAAAAGCCGGTCTAAGGACTGTCTTTTGCCTAAGGGACATGCTGGAAAACCAGTATCCGATCACTGCTGGCAGCCAGCGACTGTGAGCGCTGGTCAGGGGCAGGAGAGGGGGAGGTCAGTGTCAAAAAGGGACAGCACGGGAGATCACTGCTCTAACATTGCATAGTTAGTATGGCGAACACTGTTTTTTTTTCCCATTCAGCCCACTGGGTTGACCAAAAAAAAAAACAATGTGTGTACCAGGCTTAAGCTGAGATTCATTTGCTACACAGTGCTATACTAAATAAAATACTGTGGACTGCAGTGTGGCGGACTACTTATTTTTGTGTTATCACCCCCCCCCCCCCCCTTTCACCCTTGTGCTCACGGTGCAGAGACCCCACAGTTTTTTTTAAGACTACTATTTTGGGTTTGTCAGCAACATCTGTAGTTTGTGTTTAGCTGCTGATCACCACCATTCCTTGCAGTCTTATTTCATGCTTATCCATATTGTTTAATTTTCTGGGTTGGGGTTTAGTATTTCAAAGTTTATTTTTTTCGTGGAGATATATTTTATTTTGCTAGGGCCTTTTTAAGGGGGAGTGCTGAAGTGTACACTAAGCAAACCCTGCAGAAAAAAAAACCATAAAAATTCAGTGGCGTTATTCACCGTTGTCCATATTAAAGATGTGGCCATTAGTGTGTACCAGAATTTCATTTTGAAAAACTGGTTACCTTCGATTGGACAGTTCTGTTTAACAAGAGTAGTTGGCCAAATGATTGGACGAGATTTTCTGTAACTTGTAGTTTACTAAACAGGTGCAGTTAGAATCAAAAAGGCAAAACAAGGTTAGAAATGGCAAAGAATAATGCTGCACAAACATGGACTCTTCGCAGCAATGTCTAGTATAGCATACTAGCACAATATAGTTTGCATAAGACTCTCTAGCACCCATGAATCTAACTAAGAGTCACTACTTTAGTAAAACTGTTCAGAACACAAACATTTTCTTGGGTTTACCCTCATAAACAGTGTCCCCCACAAGTGATGTTCAAGATAGCTCTGGTAACACAGGCGAACAGCAGGAGGGATCCCAGGTCTCAAGACAAAGGAGCTGCAGTACTATGGTAAAAAATATAGGTACCCCCACAGTAGCGGGGTCATGTAGAGAAACTGCATACTATTAGGCTCTTGCCTTGCTGCCCACATACCTGTTCTGACAGTGAAGCATTTATAACTTGGCTACAGGTCACATGCCCAGCTTCGGCCTCATCAGCTATGGTCTCTCTGAGCTGCCGAGGGAGGGAAGCTTAGAAACATATCTTGTCTGGGAATCTCTAAGAACCCAGGGAGTTGTGGAAAAAGGAACTAAAGTGTCCAGTGTCTGCATCTGAGCATAGCAAGTAAATAGGCACTCTGCTATACTCCACCCTACTTGAACTTTGCTGTTCAGAAGCACGTCTACTGCCAAGTGACACCAGGTTAAAGTTATACTCAGGTGCGATTATGAAATCTCTAGGGCTCTTCAAGACAGAATGTGCCATACGTGGACTAACACACAAGCTGGAGTTTGAAATTGTGGAAGCCTGTCAAAAGCCACTGTTGTCTGGCTCAACCTGTGAGCATCTAGGGCTGATACGTTTCTCCATCCCTGCAGAGGTTAATGTGATGGACAATCTATCCAAGGGGCCCCTTGACAAAACAACTGCTGCTAAAGGAATTTAGTGATGTGTTTACTGGGCCAGTAGAATCTGTACCAGGGGAAGTTCATTTCGACCTTGATGTGAGCGTCCCCTCCAGTCCAATGTGCACCACACAATGTGCCGGCGGCATTAAAACAAGCAGTTAAGGCACAGCTTGACCAGTATGAGGCCAATGGACACTTGGCACCAAAGACTGACCCAACTGACTGGATAAGTAACATGGGGATTGTAAGGAAGCCAAATAAGCTACGAATATGCATAGATCCCAAATTCTTAAATATGGCACTGAGACGATCTCACTACATCATGCCAACTCTCGAGGATGTTTTGTACAAGCTGCCTAAGGCACGTCTGTTCACACTTGTTGGTGCCCGGGATGCATTTTTACAGTGTAAGTTGGACGATGCAAGTAGTTACATGACAACCTTCTGGACTCCGTGGGGCAGGAAAAGATGGCTCAAACTGCCTTTTGGAGTATCAGTTGCACCAGAGGTGTATCAACGTAAACAACATGAACTATTGGCTGGACTCGTGGTATTGAACCAATAGCTGGTGACATCCTTGTGGTTGGCTGTGGGGACACAGATGAGGAAGCAGAGCAAGATCATGATAGCAAACTGCTGGAAATGATGGCAGGTAAAATTGAGACTTGGCATGAAAAAGCTGCAATTCAAGGTCAAAGAGGTCCGCTTTCATGGACACATTCTAACCTGGGAGGGTTTGAAGGCTGACCCAGAAAAAATCAGAGCCATACTGGATATGCCGCAGCCAGCAAATGTGAAATCCCTGCAACGCTTCATTGGATTTGTTACCTACCTAGCAAAATTCCTACCACACCTCTCAGAGGTCTGCGAACCATTGAGAAGGCTTCTGGACAAGGACGCTGTTTGGCATTGGCTTCCTAAGCATGAGAATGCAGTGCAGGACATCAAACGCTTGGTCACGGACACACCTGTCCTGAAGTACTATGACGTTACAAAACCTGTAACTATTCAAAGTGATGCAAGCAAAACTGGACTTGGGTGTTACCTATTGCGAAGCTGGCCAGCCTATCGCTTTTGCTTCAAGGGCACTGACTCTTACCGAACAAAACTATGCACAAATAGAAGAGGAATGTCTGAGTATAGTGTTTGCCTGCCAGCGCTTTCACCACTACCTCTATGGGCGCGACGAGATCACTGCAGAAAACTCACCATAAACCTCTGATTTCTATTTTCAAGAAACCACTTTTGTGTGCACCCAAACGTCTACAGAGCATGTTGTCACGTTACAAAGCTATTGCCTAAATGTTGTCTATAAACCTGGTCCTGAAATGTACATTAGTGACACTCTTAGCAGAGCTACAGCAGCAGGTGGTACACCTGAGTATGCACAACACACAGTTTGCAATGTTCAACGGGACCTGGATGTCCTGTCCCAGATTAATCATTCAGACTATTTAAACGTCACGGACCAACGATTGCTTCAGATAAAACAGCACCACTGAAACCGATGAGAGTTTGCAGGCTCTTAAATATGTTGTTCTGAATGGTTGGCCTGATTCCAAGTTGGAAGTGCCATTACTTGTGAGAGAATATTGGACTTTCAGAGATGAAAATCGCCATTCAGGATGGTATACTGTACAAGGGGCCAAGGGTCATCATTCCTAAATCTTTAGGATCAGAGATGCTGACTCGTATTCATGCCAGTCACATTGGCGGAGAAGCATGCTATAGGCAAGCACGTGATACCTATACTGGCCCAACATGCAGAATGAGATTAGAGACTTTGTTAGCTGTTGCTCGGCATGCAATGAATATGCGCAGGCACAACAGAAAGAACCTATGATGTCGCATGTGCTGCCCACCTGGCCTTGGCAAATTGTAAGCATGGACTTGCTGAATTATGCTGGCCAGGATTTTCTACTAATTGTTGATCACTATTCTGACTTTTGGGAGATTGAGCTACTTCCTGACCTGTCTGCTGATACTACCATCAAGCGTTGTAAAGCACAGTTTGCACGTTATGGCCAGCCGGATAGAGTCATCTCGGATAATGGACCTCAATTTGCATGTGAGCAATTCACACGGTTCTCTACAGATTGGGGATTCGAGCATATTACCTCATCCCCGAGACACCCGCAAGCAAATGGCAAAGCAGAATCGGCTGTCAAGATAGTGAAGAATCTTTGTAAGAAGGCCAAGTTTGATGGTACTGATCCCTGGAAGGCCATTCTACATTGGAGGAACACCCCATCTGAAGGCATGGACAGTAGTCCTGCACAGCGCTTGATGTCTAGGAGACTGAAAACTTCATTGCCTGTGGCCAACAAATTACTTGATCCTTGTGTGGTTACAGGTGTCCCGGCGAAAACTGCATTGGAGGAAACAGATTGCCAAACTGTCATACGATGTGTCTGCTAAAGACTTACCTGAACTAAGCATTGGAGAGCCAATCCGTATGAAGCCGCTTCCAGTTGACAGGACCGGTCGCTGGAGACTGGGTTCCTGTGTTCAGAGGGTTGCTCCTCGATCATATCTTGTGGATGTAGACGACAGTCTTTACCGCCGCAATCGAGTTGTCAAGGTCCTACCTTTTCCAGAGACTGTGCGGCTGCATTGTACTGGCGTCCATCTTGGGTTTCTGCAGAGCATGGTGGGAGTCTTTTATGCCCTCAGGCCTCTGAGGTCCATCCCCAGAGGGGTGTGGCTGAGTACATATAAGCCTGTGATCCGCACATGCTCTTTGCACTTGTGTCTTGTGTCTTTGTGTTGCTACAGCTCTGTGTATACTCTTGTGTGACTCTTCTGGTATCTGACTCGGCTTGTGACTAGACCCTTCTCTGTGTTTTCCTTTGATCTGACCTTCCGTTGCTGAACCCGGCCCGTGACCTGTGATTCTTGTCTACTGTTCTGTACCGTTTTGTCCCGTTGTTGTCGACCCGGCCTGCCTGACTACGCTATTGTCATTTCCTACCAGCTACACGCCATTGGCGGTGGCCATTACCACAGCCGGGGGTGTCTCGGGGGCCGCGACCTGGTTCCTGGCTGCGTCAAGTCCATCCCCACCATCAGGGGCCCTGGTGAAGGGCAGCTGGGACTTAGACACCGCGCTCTGAGGGACTTCAGTCTGTTGGTGGTGGTTGTCATCAGTCAGTGAGTTACCCTGCCACTAGGCCTACTTGTCCGTTCCACAGCCCTGCCCTGACACGAGTGGACCTGCGAAGGGCAGAACGATTCACCACACAAGCCTATGAGCATCCTGCACGTGATCCTCCTGAGGTGCTCAATGCCCCGAGTCCAACTGGACCATATACTCAAAGCAGAGAGAACTCTGCTGTCATATCGGGATACAATATCCCGTCAAGTTCTTCTTTGCCAAACACACCAGCCAGGAAAGAGGGTAGTTCCTTATTAACAACCTTCTGGAGCTGAACAGATTTCCCCAGGCAAAATCCCTGTGGTCTTGCGTAGTGGTCGAGTTTCAAGACCAGCAGATAGACTCAATCTGTAGTGTATCTACCAGTAACACAGCATGCCATGTTCAAGACTGTTCAGGAACTGTTTTAGTTTAATTGTTTACAAGGTTTGAATTGAATGTAAAAAAGGGAGATGTTATAGAGTTATTATGCAAATACTGTGACCCTACTTGTATCCGGTAATATTGCATTGCCTTCTACTTCCTGTTTCCTGTTCTATGCTGACCTGGATGTAGTTCTGTTGTACATGATTCCTCACACCAGCATCTTGTGTTGTCTGAATTCCTGTACATGAAACAGTATCTACACTGTGTAGTGTCTACTCTTCAGATATAATGGGAAGACTGTTTGCTTTGCGGCTTTCAGCTGAAACAGTTGTCAAACATGGCAGAAAGTAGGGGGTAAAAACTATGGCAAAAAAACAACAACAATAGAACCTCTAATCCTTTCCTACTACCTCCAATTTAAAAAACAAAATGTTTTAGGCCTGACAAACACTTCATGGTCACTTAACTTAGTAAATTGGCACAAGTTGTGTTCATATCAATATCCAATCATGTGAAAGGACACATAAAAAACAAGATTTTTCCTTGCATATGATTGGATGGCCTACAAAAGTGAGCACAGCATCTCCATTATCCGCTAAACCAAGTAAATATTCACTACTACCGCTCTATGGTCAAAATGTAAAATTCTTATAATCATTTCTACATTGTATTTCAATTCATTTTCACCTATTCCTTCTAATCTTCACCATCTTGAAGTTTGTAAAACTCTTTGAAGACCCCACATTTTACTTTCTTGAAGTCTGTGGCGTATCTGCTGCGAGGCAAACAAGGCGTTTGACTCGGTTGGCATTTTACAGGGGTGGCGCTGCCCCAGGCAAGAAAGGACATTGTAGGTGTGAATGGTTGGGCTGCCAAAGGGGGGGGACAGCCAACACACAATTAGGGGGGGGAAAATACCGGTTGCATAGGAGGGTGGAATGGGGGGTCAGATCCCCGGATGTGACACAGGGTACTCGGTCGAGAGGTAAGGCCCACTGTCAGGCAAACTCCGCTCAGGATCTGCAGTGGCGTGTGCGCCAGGCTGTGCGGGTTGGGGAAGGCCTGGGTGGGTGCCAGCAGAGGGCCTGTGGGGGAGGAAGATGAAGAGGATGGAGGTCAGGGTGGAGGAGCCCCCCTGCTCTTTGTTGCAGCTGCTGTTGAGATACTGGTGGAGATGGGGGGGACTCACAGCTACCACTCCTGGCACCATCTGGAGGGAGCTGCTGTATGGGACAGGTAAGAGCTTAGAGGGACTGGGGCTTCCCCACTCCTGTCATGCTCTCCCTCCCCCATCCATAGGTGTTAAGTGCCCCCTATTTCCCCTGTACACTCCTGTCCTGGGGTGGTCTCCTACATGCCCACAAGCACTTGGGAGGGACCTGGTGTTTTGGTCCCGTGCCCCCCACCCATCATGCTGCCCCCTCCTGTCTCACTGCCATCCCACCTGTCCTGAAGGGGTGGATCGTAAACAGGAGATGGCAGGACAAACTTAGATGGTTGGGGGGGAGCGGCGCCCAATTTTAGTCTAGCCTAGGGCTGGCGGGAGAAACCAAAATACACTATTGCACAAAATCCACTATGTCCTGTGAGCAGGCACTGCGGTGTCACACATTTCACTGAGCTCACCTTCTATAGGGGAGGAGTTTCAAGGAGGCGGTGGCAGTACAGGCATCACTGCTTGTAGGGACAGCAAGGTACCATTGATATGTAGTCCTTAGAAAATGAAGACGCTGAAAGCATGCTGGAGAATCCAAGAAGTTGTGGAAGATGGCCAGCAGACAGGCAGGAGTTCACAATATGAAAGGGTGATTTTATTTTTAGTAAGCTGATATTGGGGCTGGCAAATAGAAACTATTGTTTTTTATTGTTAGGGGTACAATGATGATATTTTAGAATGAAAGTGTATGCTGTGATCATAGAAATCTCCGTCACCACTTACAGACCCCAGTAATGTGTACTTTGCACAGGCAAAAGCAAAACGTACACTGGGTACATCGCTGCCATGTTTCCGGGTTGCCAACCTCAGCCGTTGGTAACCCGCTGTGATTGTACACGCACTGCGGAAGACTGTCAGAAGGTCCCAGCAAGTCCTGCTGGATCAGCAGTGTTCAATCACAGCCCAGAGGAGCTCTGTGTTGACAAAAGCACAGGAGCTCTGTAACAGGGGAAACAATCTATTTTTTTCTCATCCCTTGTTAGGGAGCAAAGATGAGGGAAAAACTGGAGGAGCTGGTAGTAAAAGATAGCTCACATTAATACCACATGGTTTTTTACCACAGTTAGGCACACATTTAAACCCTTGATCGGCTACTACATATTAACACCCACTTCCCAGGCAGTGTCATTCAGTTTTTTTTATAGTGACAGTGTATGGTATTATCATGATCACTGTATTAATGGCACCTGGTGACTAGGGAGTGGGGGGGCAGTTAGTTAGTTTCCACTCTAGTGTCGGTTAGTGGGCAAATTACCTTATTAGAAAGATGGGGGGAAATAACTTTGTGGGGGGATGATAGGTTTTTCATACATCTTAATTACATTTTATTAAGATTTTTTAGAAAGAATAAATGAAAAAAATTTTCTTATAGGGTGCACACTTTGTCGTCTGAGGCTGGTTGCGGTACAGTAGGAGAACTGTTATTACATTTCATCGCTCAAGAAGGAATACAGAAACCAGGAATGATTGAGTAGCCGGGAAATGTGTGAAGGGGGGGATGGGGGAGCCCATCTACTCGTTCATAGAGGACCAGGAAAGCAGGGGATACGGTTATAGCATGGCAATAGATAGTATGGGATATAACAAATGATGGGTTGGGAGCGCAGGAACACGGCAGGGTGATTTTTTCGTAGTGGGTCAGGTCACACGAATAAAATCTGTTATGGAACAAATTGTATCCCTATTATAGTTTTGAGCTGCAGAAGTAGAATTTTGTAGCAATTAGCTATCAAATGGGGTTGCTCACCTCTCGCCTAAATATGATTATCCTTTCGATGCGGCGGAGGGTTCTTAAGCTACCGTGGGAGGGGGGTTCCCGAATGTAAGACCATACCCGAAAGTAAGTTAGTGGGTACTTTTTGATGGGGGCACGGGGGATAAGCCCTCCCCAAAAATAAGACCTACCTCTACCAGGGGTGGGGGTGATTAGGGCACCGATATCTGCCTGGGACCCGGGGTCACTGGGGTACGGGGGGCCCCCATGGGGGGCTCAGGCCTTTCCCTGTATGTGCGGCAACTTCTGGGGGGGATAGAGCAGGCATTGAGATGGGGTAAAAACGGTGACAGTGAGGGCAGGCACTGAGAGGGACACTGGGCGTCCTCGGAGGGGCTTCAGCAGGAGGGAGTGGTCCAGAGTGTGTGGGGGGTGCCAGGGGGTGGCTGAGACGGAGGAGAGGAGAGAAGGGGCAGAGAGGGGAGAGGGGGGGAGAAAGGTGGGCAGGAGGGGCGAGAGGGAAGGGGGGGGGGAGAAAGGGGCAGAGGAGGAGAAAGGCGGGGGGGAGAGAGAAAGGGGGGGGGAGACGAGAAGGCAGGGGAGGAGGGGGGGGGGTAAAGAGGGGAGAGAGGCAGGGAGAGAAGGCAGAGGGGGGGGGGGGGAGGAGAAAGAGGGGGGCAGAGGTGAGAGAAGGCGGGGGGGAGAAAAGGAGGGGAGGAGAGAGAAGGCCAGCAGAGAGAGGGGGGAGGTGGGGCGGGGGGAGGTGAGGGAGAGGAAGGGAGAAGAGGAGAGGAGGGGGGAAGAGGGCAGGGAGAGAGAAGGGGAGGGGTCGAGGGGGGGGAAGGGGGCGAAGGCAGGAGAGGGGAAGGGGAGGGGGGGGGGAAGGGGGGCAGGGAGAGAGAGAAGGAGGGAGGGGGGGGGGGGGGGGGGGGAGGCTCGGGCAGAGAGGAAAGAAGGGCAGGGGGGGGAGGGAGAGGGAGAGAGGAGAAGGAGAGAGAGGGGGGGGGGATTTTGAAGAGGGGGGAGAGAGGGGGGGCATGACAGGGGGGGGGGAAAGAGGGCAGAGAGGGAGAATGGGGGGGGGGGGGGGGAGAAGAGGGGAGGGAGGAGAAGGCAGAGGGGGGGGGAGAATAGAGGGCAGAGAGAGAGAAGGCAAGAGAGAGAGGGGGGGGAGAAAGAGGGGAGGGGAGAGAGGAGTTTGGGAGGGGGGGGGGGGGGGAAGGGGAGCAGAGAGGGGGGAAGGGGAGGCAGAGAGAGGGGTGGGGAAGGGGGAGAGACGGCAGGGGAGGGAGAATGGCAGAGGGGGGGGGAAAGAGGCAGAGAGGAGCGTGTAGGGAGGGATGAGGGAGGGGGGGGGTGATGGGAGGGGAGGGGGGGAGAGGGAGGAGGGCGGGGGGGGAAAGAGGGGGGGAGGGAGGGAAAGCAGAGAGAGAGAGGGGGGGGGGGCAGAGAGGAGAGAGAAGGGGGGAGCGGAGAGGGGGGGGAGGGGGGATTCGGTAGGGGCCCCCCCATTGGAGGGACATCAGGAAGTCAGAGATTTGGGGGGGGCTACAGGGGGACCCTGACATTTGGGGGGAATCTAAAGGCAGAGAGGAGGGAGAGGCAGAGGGGGGGGGAGAAAGGAGGGCAGAGAGAGAGAGGGGCAGAGGGGGGGGGGAGAAAGTACGGGCCAGAGGAGGGGGGGGGGGGGCAGGAGCTTGCTTTAAAACTTACCTTTTTGTGGAGCTGGTGGAGACGTCAATAAAAATAAGGACCTACCCAAAATAAGCCCTAGTGCATTTTTTTCACCTAAAATTAATATAATATCACTGTCTTATTTTTGGCTCCACGGAAACACGGTATATCATTTTTCTGCTGTTCCCTCTGAAAGCAGCGCATAGGTTTGGGGGTTACAGGGCGCCTCCAGAGCTGCTTAGGTGAGCTGCTGCTGTTTTTGCAGGAAGATTTTTTTCCATTTCACCAGGCTCATTCATTCATCAGGCCGGGCTGTCAGATGTTACATTTATTTGGAGCCTGGTTTGGATTCCTATTGACTTCAAAAATACTACTATCAGTTCA